TTAAGGAAAGTGATTAACGTTGCGATTATGTAATAAAAATAAATTGAAACTCTTTAATAAGTGATACCAACCAACCAAACTATGTCATGGGGGTCAATTTGGTTGTGTCATCATTTTTTCTTCTTCTAAAAAACAATGAAGAAAGAAAACACTTCTCTTTCTCTTTTGATGATCATATCATTTTAAAATTATCTCTTTCTCTTTTGTGAGTAATATCAATTAAAAATCAGAAAAATTATGTTGAGTGAGAATTATTTTTTTAAGGAAAATGATCAGTATTGCTGTCACACCCGAAATAAGAAATGTGCAACACTCACAAAGAAGATAAAAGAATACACACCATTGAAAAACACACAATGCTTCATTACAGTGCTATAGGAAGTTCTAAAGCTGTTCACTAGAATTACATTTTCAGCACATGGTTCTCCAGTTCTACAATTTCATAATGCCTTACACAAGGTTTCAAAAGCACATAGATTCAAAATATAAGACAAACTAATCCAGGGAATACAATAAAAAGATCAATGTAATATTGAATGGGAGGGTTGGGGAAGAGGAGATACTTAGTAAAAAAGGTGGGTCTCACAATTGCGATGTCGTAATAAAAGTAATATATTTTTATTTTTGCTGAAATTGTTTAAAATGTTGTACACGATAAATCAAATTATGTCACGCGGCATAATCAGGTTGTCTCCTACCATTATTTTTTTAAAAAAAAAAATGGAAGAAAGAAAACATTCATATTCCTCTTTTGTGTGGGTTATACCAATTAAAATTTGGGTTCGGTTTTTCTATAATTATTGTAGATAATTTATTTATATTGAGTCTAAAACGACATCATTTTAAGGCGGAAATCAAGATATTTTTCTAATTATAATTTATTTTAAGATTATAATAGTTTTTTTCATTATAATTTTTTAATTTTTGACCCAAAATGACTTTGTTTTGGGAATGAAGGTAAATAACTTATCTACGTTCACTTAAGAAACATTAAATTCTTAAAATTTAGCAAAATATGTTGAAGAGAATTAATTTTATAAGGAAAACGATTAATGTTGTGATTTCGTAATAAAAATAACAGAAAAATATTTCTGCAGTTACTGCAGATAAGTTATCTGCATTTACTTCCAAAACGATGTCGTTTTGGGATTGAAATATTAAAAAATTATAACTATAAAGACTGTAATAACCATAAAATAAATTAAAATTATAAAAATACCATGATTTCCGTCCCAAAATGACGTCGTATTGGGCTTACTACAGATAACTTATATGCAGTAACGGCAGAAAAAACATACCCTAAAAATAAAATGTTTTTATGTTTGTTGAATTGTTTAAAAAGTAATATGAACCCACCACATATGAAGTACCGACACTTCAAAAATCCTGATGTGTCGTGTCCGACACTTTCCGACACTCTCGGACACTCGGACACTCCCCGACACTTCAACACGCGTTATAGAAATTCAAGAAAAGGATTAAAGGTTGCGTTGCGTTGAGTTTTTAGTTTCAACTATTAGATTCGTTGGATTACGATTACTATTTTATTGAGTTTAATATAAATATTTGGGATATCTTATGTTTCTTTGCAAAATTTATGAATATTATAAGTTTAGATTCATTTTTTTGTTAAATTATTGAATATTAAATATAATATACACTACATAAATTAAAAATATTATTTAATATCAAAACGTGTCCTAACGTGTCGAAATCTAACATTTTTAGTAATTAACGTGTCAGAGTGTCGTGTCGTGTCGTAGCGTGTCACGTGTCCCGTGTCGGTATCGGTGCTACATAGCCCACCAAAATCTAATTGTCTCGTATCATTTTTTTCTAAAAAAGCAACAATGAAAGAAAATATATTCCTCTTTTGTAAGCCATGTCAATTACAAATTACTGAAAATAGCAAAATATGATGAGCCAGAATTTTTTTTTTTAAAAAAAGTGATTAGTGTTGTGATTCCATAATAAAAATAAGAGAAAAATGATTTTAAATGACATAAAGTTATGTCATTTTAAGAGAGAGATATATAATAATATTTTTTATTTAAAATTTAAATTAAAAAAATCACCCACTTTTTCTCCATGATTTTCATTCCTTGTGTTTATATCTTTCCTAAAGTGACAAACATCAAATCCTAATAATAATTTATTTTTATTTTTGCCGAAATTGTTTAAAAAGTTGTGCAAACTAACCAAATTATGTCAGGTGGCATAATGGGATTATCTCCTACCAATCTACCATTATTTTTCTCAAAAGCATCGAAGAAAGAAAATATTCATCTTCCTCTTGTGGGTTATACCAATTAAAATTTAGCAAAATATGTTGATTGGGAATTATTTTTTTAAGGAAAACGATTAATGTTTTGATTCCGTAATAAAAGTAAAATGTTTTTATATTTGTTGAATTGTTTAAAAAGTAATATCAACCAACCGCAATCTAATTGTCTCGTATTATTTTTTCTAAAAAAGCAACGATGAAAGAAAATAATCCTCTTTTGTAAGTCATATCAATTACAAATTAGCAAAATATGTTGAGCGAGAATTATTTTTTTTGAAAAAAAGTGATTAGCGTTGTGATCCCGTAAAAAAATAATTATTTTTATTTTGCTGAAATTGTTTAAAAAGTTGTACAAACCAACCAAATTGTGCCACGTCACACAATATGGTTGTCCCATACCATTTTTAGTAAAAATGCATCAAGAAAGAAAACATTCATCTTCCTCTTTTCTGGGTCAAACCAATTAAAATTTAGCAAAATATGTTGAGTGAGAATTATTTTTTTGAGGAAAGTGATTAATGTTGCAATGCCGTGATAAAAAATAATATATATTTCTGTTTGTTGAATTGATTAAAAAGTAATATGAACCAATCGCAATCTAAATATTGTCTAATACCTTTTTTTTTTCTTCTAAAAAAGCAACGATGAAAGAAAATATTCCTCTTTTGTAGGTCATACCCTATGTAGTACCGAAATCGACACAGAACACGTGACACGATATGACACGACATTCCGACACGTTAATTCTAAAAAATGTTAGATTTCAACACGTTAGGACACGTTTTGATATTAAATAATATTTTTAATTTATGTAGTGTATATTATATTTAATATTCAATAATTTAACAAAAAAATGAATCTAAACTTATAATATTCATAAATTTTGCAAAGAAACATAAGATATCTCAAATATTTATATTAAACTCAATAAAATGGTAATTGCAATCCAACAAATCTAATAGTTGGAACTAAAAACTCAACGCAACGCAACCTTTGAACCTTTTTTTGAATTTTATAACGTGTGTTGGAGTGTCGGGAAGTGTCGGACACGACACGTCAGAATTTTTGAAGTGTCGGTGCTTTATAGGTCATACCAACTAAAAATTAGCAAAATATTGAGTGAGAATTTTTTTGTTTTTAAGAAAGTGATTAGTGTTGAGATCTCATATATAGTGAAAATGATTTTTTTTTTAATTTTTGTTGAAATTATTTAAGTAGTACGAACCAACCAGATTGTGCCACGTGGTACAATCTGATTGTCTTATACCATATATTTTTTTTTTTTAAAAAAAAAAAAAGCAATTAAGAATGACAATATTCCTATTTCTCTTTTGGGTCATACCAATTACCAAATTAAAACTAGTAAAATATGTTGAATGAGACTGAGAATTATTTTTTCATGGAAAGTGATTAGTCTTATGATCCCGTTGTAAAAGTAATTTATTTTTATTTTTGTTAAAATTATTTAAATGTGGTATGAACCAACCAAATTACACCACATAACGCAATTTGGTTGTCATACCATTTTTTCTAAAAGAAACATCCAATAAAAAAGGCATCCCTCTTTCTCTTTTGTGGGTCATATCAATTAAAAATTAGTAAAATATGTTAAAGTGAGAATTAATTTTTCAAGGAAAATGATCAAGTGTAATGATCCCACAGTAAAAATAATTTCTGAGTGAGGAACAAAGCTTTTTTCTATAAAAATAATATCTTAAAAGTATTTAAGTATAAAATAATAGAAATAGAGCACCCATTAACAAAACTATTAAAAAAACATAACATGTTTGTCTCAATTCTCAATATTTTCAAAAGGTATCAAAACCCTTTTTTTTTTTACAATAAATTTTAGTGGATGTTGAAGAGACCACTTTTTATTTGCAATGGTGATATACACTCATTATCTTGTTGAGTTCCATATTATTTGTTTGATCAATTTTTTTTTATATTTTTTAATTATTATAAGAGAAAAATTCAAATACCTTCTTATGGTTTGGCATTTTATCACTTATCCTGTTATGCTTCTTTCTTTTAATCACTTACTTCTTCTGTGTTTTTTTTTAATTGTTCATAGGCACAAAATGAACAAATAAATCCAATATTTAACGGCGTTAAAGATAGACTTGAAGGAAAAAATTACAAAGGAGTTAAGTAATAGAAAAAAAAAATACAAAAAAATAAATAATTTTATAGCAAAATCAAAAGAAAATTTTTGAACTTCTCCGATTTTTTTTTTATAGCTGCGCTTGTTGCCATCCATTTGTCTTCTAACCACAAATTATACGTGGTCCTTCTATGTTGACATAAGAGGATTTATTCCTGTCTTAGATTGTTATTATTTTGTAAATACTTGTTAAAACCTTAAATTTTGATGACGGATCAAGGAAGACATGCAGATGGTAGAAATTGCAACGATTAATTTTTTCAAAGGCACTAGTTATTTCAAGAGGCGCCTACTAACAAGCATTGGTTCCATTAATATCCACATGTACTTTAAGTTCTAACTAACAACCAAAAAATAAATAAATAAAATAAAAACATTTTGTAAGAAAGGAATCAATATATCATTTTTGCGAGATTCTATGATTCATAATAACAGAACTACATCAATTTTCCATTGTGTGCTCTGTGAAGGTAAATGGATTAGTACTCATTGTTTTCAAAAATAGAAAAAAATAAAAATAAAAATAAAAATTGTACCTAGAAGTGAAGTACTTCACATTACCCTAGATAGTTCCTTCAAAGCATTAGCAATCTTGTCCTCAGTTGTTTCACTAATGTATGCAACAAGAGGACTTTCATTCGGCACAACATCTTCTCTTTGGTAACTTGCTGGACCTCTAAGCAATTCTTCTGAACCCTTAGAAACAACCCCCTTCATGATAATGGTCTTGTGAGTTCCAGAAATCAATTCCTCATAATCAGTATCCCCAGTTTCTCCAACAATGATATACATGTTTGCAACATTCAGTCTCCAACGGACAAAGAGATACCTAACATAATAGTAAACATTCAACCACTGAATATTCAGCATTGTTTGCAATTATAAAGTATAGCATCTAAGTAAGATCTGCATAAACAATGCACTAGCAAATTCCCTCACCTAAAAGAAGGGGAACTGTAGGATTGATCCTTAAAACTACCTATATCCAGCTTGGTTTCTATGGTCATGATAAAATATAACCTTCAATATTACATCAAGAAGTATGAAAAGTTACATCAATACATAATATAAAGCTATCCGGATTGATGTCAAACAGAAACCCTGTTTAGTTGCTTGTTGATTGTAGTTTTAAAGTAAATATTTTATGAGAAAAAGTTTTGTCCTTTTGAAGGACACAAGGTTGTGTCATTTTAGCAGTTATAACTATATACTTCGGGTAGTACATAATTATAATATTAAAGTTATACTTTTTTTCTCTCTCTTCATAAGCTGTCTGCTGACGTAAAAAGTGAAAAAAAATATAACTTTAATATTATAACTATGTACTACCCGTAATACAAAATTATAATTACTAAAATGACATAAGGTTGTGTCCTTTAAAAGGACACTAAACCCATATTTTATATCCTTTAATAAGAATAAACTATTTTTTACACATAGCTTTCAATGGGTTTGAAGGAACAATCTACAAGCAGATTTATTAAACAAATAACTGAATAAATCACTTCCCATTAACCCCGACTAACGATAGCCAGCGTCAGGTCAATTCTTATAATCAACAACAATATCTTTGCATATTTACAAATAGGCTATTTCACGAATTTAAACCCATAATCTTTTAGTTAAAAAGGAGTAACTTTAACCACTACTCGAGGCTCGCCCTCTAAACAAATAACTGAATTAGATTTTTTTTTTCTTGAGACTCACATCCAGTTTTCTTATAGCTTCTCCCCCAAAGGATTAAAATAAGATTTGTGCAAAATCTCTTAGCAAGTTTGCTAGCATCAAAGCCTTGAATTTGAGCAAGTGTTGAGTATTGTTTATAAAGAGCTCTTACCTGAGTGCCTGTGCTCTAGATGCAAGGAGTGGAATAACCTGCATGCTAGATGATCCCCTACAGTACATAGGATGACAACGTAGCCCTCGCATCCTAAGCTTCTGTCTCAAGTCATCAACCTTCCTTGCCTGAAAAACACAATTTCCAGGATCATTTTCATCAATAAAACCAACTGCCATACCTACTGTAAATATGCAACAAGTACAGAAGTGAATTTCACATACCTTAGCAAGATCCTTTATTTTGTATGAGATGCAATGGGCATTGCTTGATTTCAAATCTTCCTCAACGGGGCTGGAAGGTTTTTCTTCACCTTCAGATGTCTTCATAAGATTCCAAAGGGTTTTCTTTAGACCTTCATAACCCCAACGATAGTCAATATGTGCTGTATAATCTGGATCAGGCAAAAGCTTTCCATCTTCTGTATAAGTACCAGGGTAGTAAACTTCACTCCCGCTACTGCAAATTATAGCATCAAAATCATTTACTTGAATATTTCCTGATTTAAGGAGCTCTATTATCTCTTTCATTGGCATAGCTGTTGATAAAGCAAATCCCGAAACTCTGGCAGTTTGATGATCTAGTTGAACAGCTTTAATGATCCTTTGCACTATCTGGATCATCTTCTTATCAGGAGCTCCATTGTTGTCATAGAAATCAAGTGCTATAACAATCAACCTACGTCTTCTCCTTAATAGAGGATATTTTCCAGTTACATTGTCAGGAAGCTTATTTCCACCATCAGTGTCATTTGATCCCAAATCTGGCTTTCTCATCTTGCTTAAGACCCGCTTCACTTGGTCTTGCGTATCAGTCCCAGAACTTGCTGCGGCCAAGTCAGCATCAATGGAAAGCCTAAGGGACATGTCCTGAACATCCATAAGTGAATCATCGAAAGACTCTCTACCAGTTATATCATCCCCTTGAGTATTAGTTTGCCATTGTGGATGCCTCATCCGGCAAGCTGCCACCCGAGTCAAATAAGTACGACAGTGTTCAGGCCACGAGAAAAGGTGTATGTTCTTCCAACCATTTTTCCTGCACTCATGCCACAGGTTCTTCTCTGACAATAACTTGAGCAATGCATTAGTAATTGCTTTGTGATCATGAGGGTCGACAAGCAAACCATTGTTGAGGGCCTAACATATTACAAGAAAACATAATAAGAGGCTACAAGTCACATTATATACATCCAAAGGATCATGTGCATAACATAAAAGGTAAAAGAAATTTTGGAGTTTGAACTTTGTGGCAAGAGATTGTTGCATTTAAATGTGAATTTTATATTTTCCAATCCTATTTGAGAAAATACTTTACCAAGAAACATGGAGGAAGGTCCTCACATGGACCATTTAACTAATATAAAGGTAATTCTTCATTTACCCGATGAATATCCACTGGTCCCCCATTTTTAGTGGCCACCATTGGAAGCCCATGAGCTGCTGCCTGCATGAGTTTGAATATATTTAGAGTAAAAGGAGATCATTTTAACATTAAAATGAGAACAATACCACAAAACTAGCTTAGCTAGTCAAATTGTACCTCAATTAAAGTAAGACCAAAAGGTTCCACTAAAGCAGGATTTATGAAAACACCCTGAGAAAATTCAAATTATTAGCTGCTCATAATCGTTAAAATATAAGAAGTTAGTTTTATATGTATTAACTGCTAAACTTCAATAGACCTTGGTTTTTGCGGCAAATCGGTATATCTCTGGAACATCAGATTGCTTGTGATGTTTAGGGTATGCTACTTGTCCATACAGGTCGTACTTATCAATCATTTTTAACACTGTTGTGAGCATACTAGCATTCCCAGAAGACATCTCATCTATGTCATCCCTGTTTCCCATTATAAGCGTCTGTTTAAAAACATATTAGTCTTTCTACAAGTACTTAACAATAGTTTCCACTGAACTGGATAGTTGAATTAAGTAAACTTACAAGATTAGCAAGTTCTCTTAAGGAACGGCTTTCACCAAAGGCTTTTAAAAGAGTGGTTAGGTTCTTCTTTGGATCTGGTCTTGATAAAGCCAAGATCACAGGCTTGTGAGGATTTGTAAAGAAACGCATCACCTGTGCAAAGTTGTCAGTTGAAAGCCAACAACAGTAGTTAATAGACTTTCTCATGTGTTATTTAATATGATCATGTCATGTAAGATGATCTTAACCATTAATGAAAAAATTAACAGTAATGATTTTATAACTTCTTATGCCAATATTTTTTTTTTTTGTAATCTCTTATATCATTGATTCACTCTTGTATGGTTAGGATCCTCTAACATGACATAGTCATGTTAAATAACACATAAGAGGATCCACTCCTACGTGCAATATATGTAGACATATCAATTACTCACTTCTGACCAAATTTGAGGCATTGCTTTCGGTGAAGACCCTTCAACCCCACCAGTAAGCTGAGCAAGCTCTCCATCAACATCAGGGCCATCTTCTTGGATCACAACATTGCTAAAGTCCATACCGGGGGGGATAACCTGCAGGAAGTTTGAACCACTAGTGCTTAATTGAGTCAATCAACAAAAGTAGTCCATTTAGATGATGCAAAGAGCATATAAAAACAACAAAGAAAAGTAACCAACATATTTATCTGGTACAGAAATTGGTACTTTATAGGCATTGCCTTTTCCAAAGGAAGTTTGACCAAAGTTATTAAGCAAAGGATTAGTTGAGTGGCTAAAATTGTACTTCAATTTGATCATTCCCTCTGCTTTAAATTTTAGAGTGACATCAGTTAACATATTACCGCCATCCTTGGCATGTATCGACCATGACAGTTAACACCGCGTCTAGCACGAGCACGCAACACTTTTTCAAGCTTGACATCAAATCCATCATAAAGTCCCCACTGCTCCTCAATTTCTTGTTTTGTGCTAGTGACAACAAGTTCAGCAGCATCTAGGGAAAGTTCTTCTGCTTCTATCCTCCTCATCATCTTATATGTTGAATTGATATCCTCCTTTGATTGGCGTCCTTGCTTAAGAAGTTGTTCAAGCTTGTTTCTACCAAGTGAATGACCTGTCAGCACCATTGGTACATTCAAAGCACCTGAAAGAAGAGCTGCACTATCTCCAGCATCAGCATAATGTCCATGAATCACATATGGCCACACAGGTTGGCCTCCACCAACTTGTTCACCCAATACTTTTGACATGTTGAGAATGTGAGCTAATGCTCCATCTACAAATTCATGTATATAAGGCCAAAGAAGTTCTTTTTGGAGATATTTATCACGTGGACCAAAGGGTATTCTTATGATATATGCACCACTGCTCTCCCCACTGCTATCATCATCATCTGCACCAGCTGTTAACATTTCTGTAGGTTCTCCATAGCTCCAATCAATTTCAGGCGATGAGATTTGGCGCGTAAACAGATCTACTCTATATACTCCAGGCATTTTTGCAAGTGCACGAGCAAGTTCTACCACATATTTAATCTGGAAATACATTGCTTCAAGCATTAGTATACATTTAAATGGGAGGGGCAAAAGAAATTCTGGTGTAAATTTGTAATTTACACATGTAAGAATGTCAAGTACCTGCCCACCAGTATCAGAATCTCGACCAAGCTCCATGTTTTCTCCTCTAACCAATCCATGCAAACTGTGGAATAAAAGGACAAGGTTATAGTAATCATTACATTTAACATGTTTCTATTTCTAGAGTTTGTTTCCTTGAGCATTTCATAACAGAAGTGATGCAAAAATGAAACTACCTTAAAATACATAAATGGTTAAAATTTCACAGGAAGCATGTGGTATTTTGATATTATAGCGCCTGGCAATGTAACTTCATTTCTTTCTTCTAGTATTTATTAATAATATTGATTTTCAGACAACCCCCAACAAAAATTCCCATCATGCAAAACAAGGCAAAAAAATTGAAAGGAACAAAAAATGCCATCATGATTGGTTTATGGCAGCTGTTGAGACTTCAAAACTGACTCCCCTTCCTATCATCTGAATTACGCAATGTATTAGACAGATCAAATGTATATGAAGCAAAGCTAAACTATTTTGCTGATCACTGATAAAGGGAATAAATATGAATCTATCTTCCACTATGATTGATGAGTATTCCTTGACACATAGACACAGACTAAGAAATTTGTCAAGACAATTTATTAGAAGGGATGACAATGGGGGTGTGGATAGGATACCTTAAGAGGACAATATAAAGCTTCTTTTCCTTTTTGTCATCAGACCATACTTCCAAGTTAGATATCTGACGCTGGATTCTTTTCCTTGGGGTCTCACTTTGCACCATCTCCCCAATATTATCACCCTTTTCTCCTTCTGACAAGTCTTCAGACATGTCCTCTGTTGCATCCCTGCGTCCTTGTTCTCTCTCCCATCTTCGGTTAGCCAGCCTCTGCACTTCCTCCCACTCCAACTACACAAATAACACAAGTGTTTCCTATTAGTGTTGCATTAGATAACTCCCCAGTGAATGGTAGTTTCCCCATATTTGTTGGATGAAGCACCGAGTAGAATGAATTGAACACTTTAACCAAACAATGTTTGGTGACTTGAGATTATATATCATGTCAAAAACAGTTTAAATTATCCTTGCAGGAAAATGTAAAACTAAAATTTCCTTCCCTATCTTGAACTGGAAAATAAAAATAGTAATCATTGCTAAATATTCAAAAATGTGGTGCAGCTAAGATAAATAAATTGGATTGAATCCCTAAAATGGGCAATGTCAACTTAATGTACACATATAATATGACTAAAAGCTCTGCTTTAAATTGAAATTACTTGACATCTTCGTAGGAAATTTGGTACTTAACTAAGAATAGCAAGTTATCCTAGCATAAAGCCCCCTTAAAAAAAAGAAAAGAAAAGAAAAATCATCCCAATCACAAGGGATGAAAAACTAAGGAAAACTAAACATTCCTTTTTAAGAAGAAAATATCAGTCAAGAAAAAAACAATTTTTTTCCCTATGCATGCAGCTATGATGTAATTAACATTTGCATTAATTCAATCATGACCTTCAGTTTAGAATCTTGAAAACAAAAGGCATCATGCCATTACAAATGGAATCGTGAATGAAACCTTCTTTGAAATTATATTAACATAGAAATCAATTAATTAACAAATCATGCTGTATGTTATATTTCAAAATTCAAATCAAATCATCTCATTTCAAATGAATTATTTTCAATCCTATCATGATCAAACTATTCCAAAAAAGAAGAACCTGCTTCTTCTTGCGAGTAAGATGCCAAATACGCCAGCACATGTTCTCCAACCTTGAACTTCTCTCTCTGGTGTTCCTGGTAGCAACCACCTTGATCCAAGTGCGGTACAAGTCAGACTCATCAACACTTGTCACCACCTCTTCCACAAAATACTTTGTGGGATTAAAATGGCCACCATCTCTCAGAGTCACAGGTGAAGTTTGTTCATCAATGGTGGAAGCCCCAGTGGACAATATAGCCTCCAGGTACCCATTAATCCATTCATTCCCAGCCATTTCTTTTTCCTTCCCCTCACTACTTTCTCATTGATTTTCTCAAGAAAAAAAAAAAGGTTTCTTTGTATGTATTTAAACAATGCAGTGTTGCATGAAACCAGAATCCTAGTAATTAGAATGTTGTGAACAGACAGTGGAAGTGGAAGAAGGTTTCTTGAATGTTAAGAAAGCACAAGAATTGAAAGACAAGAGAAAGAATGAGCAAAAGGGTGTTTTGGGATTGATGGGGAAGAGTTCAAAGGAAGCGTTTTTGGTTGCTTTGAAAGAACGTGTGTGTGTGTGTGTGAGAGAGAAATGGTCAGAAGAGAGATAGCAGAGAGTGTAGGAGGAGGAGGAGAAGGAGAAGGAGAAGGCAAAGGAGAGAGAAACACGTTGCAAGGAAGGGTGGGCCATAGAGACAGACACGTGTACACTGCAAAACTCATATTGATTTACCTTTCTGTGACCTAGAGGTGTGAAAATGAGTTAAAGCTTCCATGTCAGTCCATAAAGCATTATATTTGACTCTAATTCATTAGAATTTTTGTGTGTTAGGTCATTTTTTAGTCCTAACCTTCAAATCTCTATAACTTAGCGGGTTGGGTTAGAGATGACCTGAGGGCCAAACTTTTTTTTTTCATCAAAATTTTCATTATTTAAAAAATTAAAAATTATATAAATTTAAATATTTATAAATATAAGTAAAAATTATTGTGATTTGATGGAGAATATAAGAGAAAGTGAAATATGAAAGAAATGAAAATAAAGTGTAGAAAAAAAATAAATAAAAAGAATAAAATAAGAATAAGTATGAACAAAGAGTCCTGTATAAGGACCTATCTTAGATGCATTTTTAAACATGGAAATCATGAAAAAACAAAGAGTCACATGTTATGAATCATGTGAAAGGTCATTCATAATTCATGTGAAAGGCCATCCATAATTCATGTGAAGTGTCATCCATAATTCATGTGAAAGGTCATCCATAATCCATGGGAAATATCATCCATAATATTTTACAATACCTCTTTGGATGTATTCTACAATTCAACACACTATTAGTATGATAATTATAGAATACATCAAAGGTCGTGAAAATCAAAGAGTCAAATTTTATGAACATGTGAAAGTTTATCCATAATATTTTACAACAAAAATAAATTTTTCAGTAGTGATATGTTTTAACAGAGATTTTCATTTGTGCATCAATAAAAATAAAATTTTATATTGACATCTAAGCATGTTATACATCCAAATTTGTATCGAAACATATCGTATACAATGCACTGTTCCCCCGCACTCCGGATTAGTCCCATAGCCGGCTCAAAGAGTCGAAGCTCGTGGGGATACCGGAGGGAGCCAACTCGTCTCAAAGAGATAATTAGGGTTGGGTAACTCCAAAAAGAAATTTTGTGGATAATAATAACTAGGGGTGTTAACGGGCCGAGCCGAGCCGAGCTTTGGTCTTAAAAAGCTAAGTCTGTGATTAAATGTGTCGGCCTTACCAAGCCTGTTACCTGTTACCTGTTACGAATAAAATTATCGGCCTGTGGCCTGCCTTATTTACAAAAAACAAAAGCCTGATTTAGCCTGTTAGAAAAAAATAAGACAACAAAAATTTATCCAAACAGAATATACAATCAACGACACTAGTAATTGCATAAATATTCATAAATTCAATGGATATCGAAACAACATAATATAGAACAAAATCATTTAAAAAATCTGTTTAACTAATAAAATATGGGTGAAGTGGATTGAGAGAAGAGAGAAAGTTATTACAAATAGTATAAAAAATATAAATAAAAATAAAAATTAATATACTAGGCCAGCCTGAGAGGCTCCAAGGCCGAGCTTTTGAATTGGAGCCTGAGACCTTTTTACTAAACGAGCTTTTATACAAGTCCAAGCCTGGTTCCAACAACCAATATTAGACATGTAAGCTCAGGCCTTTACGAGCTGAGCCAAAGGCCCCTGGCTCGTTTATCACCCCTAATAATAACTAATTTTTTTTGAAATGGTAGTAATTAAAGAAAATCAATTATTTTACTTTTAAATATATAACATACTAAGAGCAGTTATTCGATATTGGTATTAAGATAATTTTTCTATCATTACTTTTGGTTTTCCACTATAATTGTTGTATTCTGTTATGACTCCCGGTGAGAAAATCTTTATTTGATGTCATCATTTAATAATGAATTTAGTAAAAGTAGTAACTAAATTTTCACTTATATTAAAATTTTGTTTACATTTTCACTTGTATATTTGTGTACAAATCTTATTTTATTAAAAAAGTAAATTATAAAAAATTTATAATTTGTATAAAATATGTTAAGAAAGTGCTAAAAATGTATTTGTTAAAATATTTTTTAATGTATTGAATATGATAAAAAAAATGTGAAATTATAATTTTGAATGGCCCATGGGCTGACTTTTGGCCCGTGTGGGCCTTGATTATTGAGGTTCATTTGGCCCTGCGGGCTTTTTGGCCCTAACCCACAAGGGCTAGGGCCAAATGGGATGAGCTGACCCATTTTGACAGCTTTACTGTTTGTTACGAAAGGGAAGTTGCTAGTTCCTACACTATACTATGCTCTCTTAGTTGAGTGCTTCCTTTGCATATTCCTATGAGTGGGTTGGAAGACAAACGGAAAAATATTTGAGTAAATACCATTTTCGGTCCTCAGCAAATTTGACGATGCCCACTTTAGTCCATAGCAAATAAAAAGGCTATTCGTGGTCCCTAAGAAATTTAAAGTGGACCCATTTTAGTCTTTTTGAGGGACTAATGTGGGTCTTTTTTGAATTTGTGAGGGACCACGATTTCAACTAAATGTGTTCATTTTGAATTTCTTAGGGACCACGAATAGCTTTTTTATTTGCTAGGGACTAAAGCGGGCATCGTGAAATTTGCTGAGGACAAAAAATGGTATTTACTCAAAATATTTTTTTTCCTCTAAATATCACATTTTTAGGGGAAGGACCGTTATGGGCCAATATCACATTAAAATTTTCCTTTTTAGTTTAATTTTTATTTTTTTCATTGCATAAAGCATGTTTTTGGTCCTAATATAAAATACGGTTCCAATTTTAGTTTCTTACAAAAAAAAAAAAATAGTTTCGAGGTTCCTAAGAAATTCAAAGTGGACCCATTTAGTTGAAATTATGGTCCCTTTCAAATTAAAAAAAGCCCCATATTAGCCCTTGAAAAGGATTAAAATGGATCCACTTTGAATTTGATAGGGACCAGATAACTAATTTTTTTTGTTAGGAACTAAAGTAAGTACCGTATTTTTTGTTAGGGACTCAAATGAAATTTTACTCATTTTCATTTGATTATTTTCAGATATTGGGAAAAAAATTAGTGGATGAAAGTTAAAGCCAAAGAAGTATCTCCAAAATGTTAATAACACTTTAAGAGATTTTTTTTAAGAAAATGAAATTATTTCTTAAGGGAAAAAAAAATTAAAACGATGCAACTTTAAAAAATAATTATAAAATAATCTGATTTTCAAAAGTAATATCAATCTAATATAATTAGTTACGTACCTTACTCATGCGAGATTGGTTCTACATTTTCTTCATAAGTGATTGTGATGTGTTGTCATCATGCATATCTGAAAAATATTAACCATAATTATAGAGTTATTATCTTTGTAGCGGTCGAGCATGACAAGAATATTGAAGTAGAGATCAAATAATGGTAATTCAGTTGGCATCAGGAAATTAAGCAGGTGGAGACGAGAGTATGTATTCGATCTTTTCTAGTATCATTTTTAGGAGGGGTTTAAAGCCATAATCTCGAGACCCGCACGAATCGAACTAATTGCAAAATAATGAATTTATTAGAATATCTCCAAAAAAAAAAAAAAAAAAATATCGCACTAGAGTCTTGTAAAACTAGTCATAGTTTTTTTTAAAAATAAAATAAAATAAATTGCATGAAAAAATATAGACACAATGCATTTTATTAATATTGTTTAAAAGTGGGTCCGTTTTTTTTTTTTGTAGCAATTAGCGGTGTAAATGAGCTAGACCGAGACAAACTTTAGCTTAAACAAGCTAAATCTATAAAAAAAATATTTTGAACTTGGCTTGACTCATTAGCTTAGTACGCGCTAAATTATAGGCTTGGCTTAGCTTGTTTATGAAAAATTAAAGGCTTGGCTTGAGCTTGACTTGACTCATTTATAATTATAAAACATATTTTTTCCAAACTCTTATACATCCAAATGTTGAGATTATAAATGCATCATATTGTGTATTTCTTCGTCAAAGAAAAATTAATAATAGAACTCACTCAGTCCGCATATAATTACATCTTTTATACTATCTAGCCGGAACAAAAAAAATAATATTTTCAATACATTTAATTATTCCATTAGAGATTTGATTCATAGGCTAGTTTGGAACCAATTCAAGATACATTAAAGCTTAGACTTCATGATTGAATAATGAGTTCCGCAATTTCTTCATAAACATTAATTTAGTGACATAAAAATATATTATTTATTATAATAATGTATTAGACCAGCTTACGTACTTTCAAGTCAAGCCTCATTAAATCACGCTTGAGCTTGTTTGCTAAACAAGTTTTTTTTTTTTTTTTTTTTTTTTTAAGTTTGAGCCCGTTCTAGTTATTAGACAAGTCAGGCCAAGTCAAGCTTAAAGCAAGCCAAGTTTTGGGCCCCTAACAAGCCGCTCAGCTTATTTACACCCCTTGTAGCGACTACAAATCTTTTTTTAGTGCAGCAAACATAGAAAAATGAGACCCACTAACTAAGTAGTTAGCTATATCTGCATACCAAGGAGTTGCTGTATGGGAAACCATAAATAACTGCTTATCAGGGAAAGTCTTTTCAATAATTCCCTTATTGCTGTCTTGTTGTCCTTCATTAAGCCTGGACACATGATTAGCCACTTGGTTTGGGCATTAAAGGGTCCAACTTGCTGCCCTTGCCCTTGAAAATATTGGGACCCTTGGTTTTACTTCCAAGATTTATTGAAAAAATTATTCTGGTTCCTTTTGGGGTTTTCTACATAGAAGACAGACTCTGGATTGGATGGACACCTATTAAACAAATGAGGTCCACTACAGAAAACACAAGATTCACTTGAGTTTAAAGCAATGACTTGAGGATGAGGCAAGTGAACTTGAGGCTGAGCTAGTTTTTCCTCAATTGCTTGAACTTGGTTCCTAACTAAGGTGGATAACACATCAAAATTGACTGACAAGGTCGTTATAGAATCCAACTCATGCAAACCAGCAACTTTCCTTGGCTGATTTCTCTCAATAGACCATTGGGAGTAATTTTGAGTCATTTGTTCCAACAACTCATGGGCTTTGATTAAACAACCTGGACATGAACATGCCATTGGCAGCAGAGTCTTCTAAGGCTCTATTTTGTGTGCTGAGACCATTGTACAAGCTTTGTAACAGGGCCCAATAGGGTATGCCATGGTTAGGACACTACTTCAGGAGAATTTTAAACCTCTGCCATACATCCACTAAAGTCTCACCATCTTTCTGCATGAAATTGGTGATCCCACCTCTATTTTGTACTATCTTATTGGATGGGAAAAACTTCATGATGAATTTTTCAGTTAAGGCATACCAAGTGGTTATGGAATTGGATGAAAGGGAGTTTAACCACTCTTTGGCCTTGTCAGCCAGTGAGTAAGGAAAAAGCTTTAATCTCAGCACATCATCTGAGATGGCTGGCCTCCTAAAGGTATTAGCAATTTCAATGAAGTTCCTAAGATGCTTGTGTGGGTCCTCCAAAAGTAACCCATGGTACCGCCCCATATTCTGCAGCATGCTAAACATGATGAGTTATAATTTGAAAGACACTTCATTAACAGGTTGGACTATACTTGGATCAAGTTCATCTAAGACGGGAATGATAAAATCCGTCATGGACCTGTTATTGTCGTCCATGGGTTAGTTCCCTATCCTCCCAAGTTGCTCCTCATTATTTGTAACACCCCAAATTCTAACAATTTATAATAGAATAAATAAATTCAATAATTTTATAAATAACAGCGGAAGTTCAAAATAATCAAATTTGGGAAGTGTTACCGCCGCACTTGTACAGGGACAAGTGCAAGGCTAACTCTATTACATTCAAATAAAAATCTAAGACTACAGTTTTTTTTTATACATAATATTTATGACAGCTAGAAATATCCGAGTCGTGATCCTCACTGCCCACAGCTAGCCCCATCCTTTGCAACATGCTTCACTGAAAATCTGCTCCCCCGCAGCCGCAGGATCATTGCAGTCAAACAAACACAAAAGTCAGCAAAACTGGTAATCCCAATCAAGATACAAAACGAGGATAATATAACCCAATATCAATCAAGACATTTATTTAAGAATAATCAACATAATCAACTCAATTAATATTTCGAATATGTCATTTATTCATAACTCAAGCAATATTCAAATATGTCATTTAATCATAATCAAGTAATAATTCAAATAAGAAATTTAATCATAACTCAAATCAAGTATTAATATCATTATTAATCATGTTTAAGATTATTTAGTCCATTTAGTGTATAAGGGTAATTGTCAACTAACATATTTAGCAAAACATTAATCATAATATGATAATATTCACAACTCAATGACATTCTTCATAATCAAATCAAATAACAATTTTCATTAATAATGTTTAAGTTCATTATATTTAGTGGGAAGAGAACCATGGTAGACCCGGGAAACCCTGCCAGTCTACCCCGTGACCCGGGAAAAAACCACTGTTACCAGCCACGTATAATCAAAATTGGCCATAATCAATTCACATCTTCCTAGTGTGCACACCTCTTCCCAAAGTTGCTACTAGTATCCCGGGAAAAAACCACTGTTACCAGATACCACTTTGGGAAGAACGGATACAATCTTTTTCACATCAGTTTCACATCGGAGGCATAAAGCCCAAAAGTTGTGTTCATCACTTTGGAAGGTACCATCCCAAAGCTATCCTCCCACCATTAATTTATTACAAACACACACAATCAGGAAAGATTCAATCATAATTATTTATTCTTTAAGTATTATCATCTCTAAATGAGTTACTCAAGGGCATTATAATTTTCCAAAGTATCATAATTCAAACAACTATTATCATAAATTCTCGAATTTATATAACAATTCAAATCTTCAACATTCATCATAGTAAAATCCAAATCCGATCATCATCATAACTTTCCAATTTATTCAAGGATATAATAATTCAAATCTTCAACATTCATCACAGTAAAATCCAAATATGATCCTCATCATAACTTTCCAATTTATTCAAGGATATAATAATTCAAATCTTCAACATTCATCATAGAAAAATTCAAATCCAATCATCGTCATTCAAATAATCCCATCACATCAATTATCATAGTTATAAATATTCAAATGCAATCATTAAAACACATATTTGGAAAGTTTTTCTTAAAGAGTATTATAACTCCATAATTTTCATAATTATTCAATAAGATCCATATATTGCACCTGAATTAAGTCTTATACCATACATTTCACATAATTATAATTTCTAAAATAATAACATTTTATATCATATATTGCACATAATCATAACTTCTAAAATAAAAGTTTATATCATATATTGCAAGCTGATTCGGAATTCTCTTTCATTCCAACTTGTATCCATATTCTAATTATCATATGTAGTAATTTAAATTTAAAAAAAAACAAATACCTATATATATAGAAATGTTCATACCAAACTATTAAGAACATATACGAATTACATATAAGGATCATGCCCAAATTTCATATAATACAGATAACCTACAAACATCTAGGGATTAGGATTACTATTAATAAACTTCAAACAAAATTATAACCTAAGGATTAGGATTACATATATCAAAATTCATATCAATATAACCTATGACTCTCTAGGGATTAGGATTACCTGGTCTCCGTTTTCGCTAACTTCTAGAAGAAAAGAATAATTTGGGACAGAGAACCGGTTGGTAACCAGAAGAATAAAAAACTAAGAAGAGAGAATAGTAGAGGAGAAATGTTGAAGAGTGAATTAGTTTGTTTAGGCTAGGCCTCTATTTAATTTATAGTTGAAGTTTAGGGCTTACACATTACTGACTCAATGCTGACTCATCATATCTAAACAAATTATCAATCAACATTACCAATCAATCATTACCTATCAAACATTACCAATCGAACATTATCAATCGAACATTATCAATCAAACATAAATGCTTAAATCATCAATCAATTAATAATCCAATTAATTACAATTTATCATCTATATATATATATATATATATATATATATGTATATATATATATATATATATACATATTAATATTATTTTATTATAAATAATTTAGAGTATTACAAAGTATCAAAATTATTTTCCAATAGCATTCATATCGCACAAAATAATTTTATCAAAAATAAAATTAATATTCTACTTTGTTATCTATGACCATATATATATATATATATACATATATCATTACTACTAATTTATAGTTTATTATTAATATTATTATATTATTATTATTATTTTATTAATAAAAATATGGGGTATTACATTCTACCCTCCTTAAAAGAAGTTTCGTCCTCGAAACTTAAAAGTTTGAGCTCCTCAAATTAACTAAAAGGCATAAGGTTAAAGTTAATAAAAATATGAGGTATTACATTCTACCCTCCTTAAAAGAAGTTTCGTCCTCGAAACTTTTTTTTTTTTTTAAATCCTTACAAAAAGTAAGCAAACAACAAAGAGTCATTCATAAACAAGACAACATAGAATACAATAAATTTAAAACACTTCAAATTAATGAATTGCTAACTTTAACCAAGCTAGAAGAAAAAAATTTCGAAACTGAATATCTTCTTTAAATAAATAGAAAATTTTATTGCATATATTATCTTTCATTTGTTAGAAAAAAATTTATCACTTCAAGAACAACTATAAAAGAAAGTTAATTACTTTTATAAAAATAAAAACGAGTTACTAAAGATAGCGTATAAAAATTTTAAAGAATAATATCAATAATAGTTTTAAATCACAAAATAATTCCAAACATATAATCATCAAAAGTTCAAAGAAATAAATCATATTTAAAGGACAAGAAAAATAACCCTTCACTACCCAGCTCTCTCGATTTATTTATTTATCTTATGTTCTATTATTTTATTTCCTATTTTTTTATTATTATTATTTATTTTTTTATTTATTTAACTCAGGGATCTTTGATCCCTCAAGTCAGTATCAAAAACAAACCCCAAGCCGAACCAGGGGCTCTGATACCATTTTGTAACACCCCAAATTCTAACAATTTATAATAGAATAAATAAATTCAATAATTTTATAAATAACAGCGGAAGTTCAAAATAATCAAATTTGGGAAGTGTTACCGCCGCACTTGTACAGGGACAAGTGCAAGGCTAACTCTATTACATTCAAATAAAAATCTAAGACTACAGTTTTTTTTTATACATAATATTTATGACAGCTAGAAATATCCGAGTCGTGATCCTCACTGCCCACAGCTAGCCCCATCCTTTGCAACATGCTTCACTGAAAATCTGCTCCCCCGCAGCCGCAGGATCATTGCAGTCAAACAAACACAAAAGTCAGCAAAACTGGTAATCCCAATCAAGATACAAAACGAGGATAATATAACCCAATATCAATCAAGACATTTATTTAAGAATAATCAACATAATCAACTCAATTAATATTTCGAATATGTCATTTATTCATAACTCAAGCAATATTCAAATATGTCATTTAATCATAATCAAGTAATAATTCAAATAAGAAATTTAATCATAACTCAAATCAAGTATTAATATCATTATTAATCATGTTTAAGATTATTTAGTCCATTTAGTGTATAAGGGTAATTGTCAACTAACATATTTAGCAAAACATTAATCATAATATGATAATATTCACAACTCAATGACATTCTTCATAATCAAATCAAATAACAATTTTCATTAATAATGTTTAAGTTCATTATATTTAGTGGGAAGAGAACCATGGTAGACCCGGGAAACCCTGCCAGTCTACCCCGTGACCCGGGAAAAAACCACTGTTACCAGCCACGTATAATCAAAATTGGCCATAATCAATTCACATCTTCCTAGTGTGCACACCTCTTCCCAAAGTTGCTACTAGTATCCCGGGAAAAAACCACTGTTACCAGATACCACTTTGGGAAGAACGGATACAATCTTTTTCACATCAGTTTCACATCGGAGGCATAAAGCCCAAAAGTTGTGTTCATCACTTTGGAAGGTACCATCCCAAAGCTATCCTCCCACCATTAATTTATTACAAACACACACAATCAGGAAAGATTCAATCATAATTATTTATTCTTTAAGTATTATCATCTCTAAATGAGTTACTCAAGGGCATTATAATTTTCCAAAGTATCATAATTCAAACAACTATTATCATAAATTCTCGAATTTATATAACAATTCAAATCTTCAACATTCATCATAGTAAAATCCAAATCCGATCATCATCATAACTTTCCAATTTATTCAAGG